ATAAATGATGCGGAAGATGGTCAAGTCATTTGTGACAATGATTCAAGCCCGGCTCTTGTTGTCTCAAAGATTTTGACACTTCAACAAACTAAGATGCCAACGATGTCATATCTTCATACCAAAGCGGGCATACAAGGAAGATCAATCAAAATCATAATTGATAGAGGAAGTTTCCTTAATTTGGCTAGTGAAGAGCTTTGTTCCAAATTGCATCTTATCAAGAAGAAGCACCCGCGCCCTATACAAGGTTCAATGGTTGAGCGACTTCGACACCATACAAGTGGAGCACAGCGTGAAAGTATCTTTCAAGATCGGCACCTATGAAGACACATTGAAATGTGATGTAGTTCCCATGTCCGTATTTCATCTTCTATTGGGACGTCCATGGCAACATGACCACTGAGTAATTCATAATGGACGCACAAACCATTATAGTTTCAAGTGGAAGGGCAAGGAGTATGTGCTTCGACCTATGACCCCAAGTCTAGTCACAACCGACAGACACCAATCTTCAAGCCATCATAAAGAAGAGCCAAAAATGGGTACCTCCATGATGAGTGTCAAAAAGATGTAGTTCTCTGAGCCACCAACAAAGATGAGGGAAGTGACTGAGCGCCCATCACATGTTCTTCACTTTGTACTCCTGTACAAATATGAGGTCATTATGACTAACAACTCACAACATCTTCCTAGCGCTTTGTCAAATGTTTTGTGGGAATTCGAGGATGTGTTTCCCTTTCAGCACCACCGAGACTACCTCCTCTACAAGGGAACACCGCATTGACCTAATCCCCGGCACACCCCTACCGAACCCCGAGGAGACCAAAGAACTACAATGGCAAGTTCAACACCTCAAGAACGGAGACATCTTGCATACACATGGAGTGCCAAAGACAATCTTCTCCGACTGCGACGTCAAGTTCTGGAGTTACTTTTGGAAGAGACCCTCTACACCAAGTTAGGAATCAAGCTCTTGTTCTCTTCGGCATATTATCCTCAAACCGATGGCCAAATGGCGACCGTCAACCGCACGCTATCTACCCTACTTTCAGTACTCATCAAGAACATCAAGGAGTGGGAAGAGTGTTTGCCCATCACCGAGTTCGCCTACAGCCGCACAAGACACTCGACGATGATGAAGTCCCCTTTTGAGGTTGTTTATGGCTTAAATCCTTTGTCGCCATTGGACATCCGTTTCCACTACAAGAGCGCACCAATATGGACACGAGTGCTCGGGCAATCTTCATGAAGAAGATGCATGAAGACATAAGGCACACCATCGAGCATCAAGTGCAAAAGCATACATCCAAGATCAACACCAACAAGAAGCCCATGGTGTTCAACCCCAGAGATACTTCGAAAGGACCATTTCCCGAAACAACGCAAGTCCAAGCTTCTACCCTGAGCCGATGGCCCTTCAAGGTACTAGAAAGGATAAACAACAACGCCCATAAGATTGATAAGTACTCCGTGAGTGACATGTTCAACGTCACCGACTTAGTCCCTTACCATGGTGATGTCATTTTTTATCCGAGTGGGTCTTCCACAAGAGGAGGGGGGAGATGGTGCGAAGCACCCCATGGACATCGCCATGGATCCTACACCAACACCTGCACCTTCAAGTGGACCTTTGACAAGAGCTCACGCACGTGCCATTAAAAGCGAGGTGAACTCTTCGAGCTCCATATGCATTTAGATGAGACTTGTCTACTGCCTCACAAAGAGACCCTATGTGTCATTAGGTACATTAACGAACATCACGAAGGAGTGAGGAAGGAACACCAAGTCCATTAAGAGAAGCAAGAACGCACGAAAGACGGTGCTCGGCAGTTGGAGGAGAAGATCAGCTCTATGGGCATCCGTGCCCACGGGCCTTGCCTGCATACCTCTCTCAGTCCATGGCATCCTCCAAGGTGGCCGGGAATTTTAGCCAGATGTTCGTTCGTAGGGCCTTCCTCTGGGCTCTCCCGTTCATCATAAGTGTGCGCTTAGTCCATGGCATCATCCAAGGTGGCCGGGTATTTCAGCAAGATGCAAAGAAGGCCGCAAAGCAAGCTGTGAGTGAACCAAGGGGTCGAGCATATGAGGACCTCTACCAGCGGTTAGACGCGAAGGAAGGCGAAAGGGACATCTATAAGATGGCCAAGATCCGAGAGAGGAAGACGAGGGATGTTGACCAAGTCAAATGCATCAAGGACAGAGCAGACCGACTCCTGGTGAAGGACGAGGAGATTAAGCATAGATGGCGGGAGTACTTCGACAAGTTGTTCAATGGGGAGAATGAGAGCTCTACAATTGAACTGGGCGACTCCTTTGATGATACTAGCATGTGTTTTGTGTGGCGAATCCAGGAGTCAGAAGTCAAGGAGGCTTTAAAAAGGATGAAAGGAGGCAAGGCGATGGGCCCTGATTGTATCCCCATTGAGGTGTGGAGAGGCCTCGAAGACATAGCCATAGTATGGCTAACTAAGCTTTTCAGCCTCATTTTTCGGGCAAACAAGATGCCAAAAGAATGGAGACGGAGTATATTAGTACCAATCTTCAAGAACAAGGGGGATGTTCAGAATTATACTAATTACCGTGGAATTAAGTTGATGAGCCATACAATGAAGCAATGGGAGAGAGTCATTGAGCACCGCTTAAGAAGTATGACATGCGTGACCAAAAATCAGTTTGGTTTCATGCCTGGGAGGTCGACAATGGAAGCCATTTTCTTGATACGACAACTCATGGAGAGAATCAGGGAGGAAAAGAAGGACATGCATATGGTATTCATTGACTTAGAGAAGACCTACGATAAGATACCGCGAAATGTCATGCGGTGGGCCTTGGAGAAACACAAAGTTCCAGCAAAGTACATTACCCTCATCAAGGACATGTACGATAATGTTGTGACAAGTGTTCGGACAAATGATGGCGACACTGATGACTTCCCGATTAAAATAGGACTGCACCAGGGATCAACTTTGAGCCCTTATCTTTTCGCTCTGGTGATGGATGAGGTCACAAGGGATATACAAGGAGATACCCCATGGTGTATGCTCTTTGCGGATGATGTGGTGCTAGTCGATGATAGTCGGACGGGGGTCAATAGAGCTATGGAGACAAACCTTGGAATCCAAAGGTTTTAGACTTGTAGAACTAAAACCGAGTACATGAGGTGTGGTTTCAGTACTACTAGGCACGAGGAGGTTAGCCTTGATGGGCAGGTGGTGCCTCAGAAGGACACCTTTAGATAATTGGGGTCTATGCTGCAGAAGGATGGGGATATCGATGAAGATGTGAATCATTGAATCGAAGTCGGATGGATGAAGTGGCGCCAAGCTTCTGGCATTCTTTGTGACAAGAGAGTGCCACAAAAGCTAAAAGGTAAGTTCTGTAGGACGACAGTTCGACCCGTAATGTTGTATGGCGCTGAGTGTTGGCTGACTAAACAGCGACATGTTCAATAGTTAGGTGTGGCGGAGATGCGCATGTTGAGATGGATGTGTGGCCACACAAGGAAGGACCGAGTCCGGAATGATGATATACGAGATAGAGTTGGGGTAGCACCAATTGAAGAGAAGCTTGTCCAACATCGTCTAAGATGGTATGGGCATATTCAGCGCAGGCCCCCAGAAGCGCCAGTGCATAGCGGACCGCTAAAGCGTGCCGATAATGTCGAGAGGTCGGGGTAGACCAAACTTGACATGGGAGGAGTCCATAAAGAGGGATATGAAGGACTGGAGTATCACCAAAGAACTAGCCATAGACAGGGGTGCGTGGAAGCTTATTATCCATGTGTCAGAACCATGAGTTGGTTGTGAGATCTTATGGGTTTCACCTCTAGCCTACCCCAACTTGTTTGGGACTAAAGGCTTTGTGTTGTGTGTGTGTGTGTTGTGTATCCGTCCGGAGGGGATTGTGGAGGCCAGCCACGAACAACTCCACCTTGTGCTGCTCAGCGTGTCCTTCACACCTACACATGAGGGTGAGAAATTTTTCTTCATACTCATCTGCCGTACCGGACTGCTGCAAGTTCTTGATTGTGCCAAGCTGGGTGTTTCAGATTTTAGGTTCAAAACGGTGGGTGACGCGTTCAGCGAACACAAAGCAGGATAGGGCGTTGTGGGAGATTTTGCAGTTGTGGTACCACAGCGTCGTGTGACCAGCCAGCTGATATGAGGCCAGCCACACCTTACCCCACTCAGGTGTGCCCTGCCCTTTGAAAAATTGGTCCACACGGGTTAGCCATGGGAACACATTTTTCAAACCATCGAAGGTCGAAATTTCAGCTTCTGGAATTTGGGAGCACCTTGCCAAGCATCATCATCAATGTTGTACCACTTGCAATCACGAGTCAGCAGCTCGCTCGCCTTCGTCGCGCTCGGCCCACCTTGTGTTTGGCACAATTTGGTCACGTCTTCCGTCAGCTTGCAGAGATCGGTCTTGAGCTCAAGAGTGTCGGTAGACAAGGCAGTAACTTGGTCAACAAGGCCGGCAAACTTGCTGCTGACAATGCCCTCCACATCATCGCGGACAACGGACAGCAGTGATCCCATCTTCCTGCACGCGCGTGGCCTAGTAACTAGGAACAAGAGCATATCCGTGCAGATCCTTGTGCGGTGTAGGCGCAGGGAGGTTAGGGTTTGGGGATAACTAGAGGCAAGCCTCATCTTTTCTTCTTTATTGATTCTATGATGCCCACGTACTAGGCCTAGGTCCCTTCATATATAAGGTCGGGCCGGCTGATACAAATTCAACTTAATTTTCCAATTAAAACAATCATTATCTATGGAAATAATTAACTAACTTGACATACAAGCAAACTAAAGATAATGCCTCTCGCTAAGCAGATTTGAGACCCTCCTTGTTCATGAGCTTCAAGTGCTGGTCCCACATGACACATATACAGAAGAGCATACGAACACTAGGACACACCACCAAGAACTGCTAGCCTGAACTTTATTTCCAAAGGTCGACTATTGTAATATTTATGGTGGGATAGGCAGTGAACAAACCTGGTGAATCATAATAAGATGGTTGATCAAAGAAAAGCATTGCCTCCCTTAATCTATGGCGCTTTCCTTCAGTACCTGCATACTGGAAAGTAGTGTGCACGGCATATGGTTCTAGCCGAAGCTGCTGATGCATGCCCTGTCAATTAAACAAGAGTATACGGAGCAGTTAGATATCAATAGCACTATGAGTTCTAAGTACAAAATGGTGGCACAAAAGAGTAATACCCAAGAATGGAATAACATAAATGAAACTAACAAAAAATGATTATTAGTCACCAACCTCAAACAAAAAATGCTCCTACCTGCACAAAGTAGGTATGGCCACTGCAGAATATACTTGCTGGTAGGACTCCAAGCTTCAATTTTCCATCATATGAGTAGACAAGTTCATCTTCTCCTTGAACAGGTTGTCCAAAAACTTTGTGTACGAGATCATTAAAAGCATTCTGGTCCCATATCTTATCATCAGATATGACAAGGTCTTTCCAATCTTTTGCCAGCCTTTTAGCAGGTTCAGTGGGTCGCCAATGGAAAATACCAATATTATATGCCCCAGTTACTGTGGATAAGGACACGGACAAATAGCAATGAATTATATCCTTAAGTTACGAGTGTCAAACTCTTTATAACTCGGAAACATTAAGATACCTCATGTCAAACTGAAACAAATTGCTGGCAACTGATGCTAAACAAAAAAAGAAGGTACTGTAATCTTATTAAGGTGAATCGCAGCAGATTTCCGTAATGATATGAGAAACCCTGTAATGAGAGTACTATTGTAATTTGTGTCCTTGTTCTCTGAGGATTTGATGATATATGTTGGCAGGCACGAATATCTTCAGCAATGGTATTACACGAACTAGACCAATATAGTGTGAAAAGGTATTCGCTGACATTTTCCAATAAGCTAGCTAAGTGAGTTCCTCCTTTCTTTCACTGACAAAATCTTGTTTAATCAAATGTTTGGATTACAAACACTGAAATATTAGTTTCGTGGTTGAACTAAATTCATTTGAATTTCAAGGGTGAGGGGTAACAAGAGAGATAATAGATCCCACATATTTGGCAACGAGTATAGTTTTACAGCATTTAATTTAATAGTCTGAAAAGCGCAAGGAGACACTTCTCACTGATGCTCAGTTTTGATAGTACTAGCGGGTGGGATACAACATCTTTGACAGATCGCTATTAGCTTATCATCGGATGAAAATAAAAAACCATGTCTCTTCATGACATTCATTCTTAAATGTAATTGCAACCTGTTTTTTAGAATAACAGGGAGAGCTCCCCGGCTCCATTTTCATAGAAAAGAAGCCTGATAAAACAGGTCCACATCACCATTATTACAGCAGCCTAAGTCTGGGACAGAAAACAGTTTTAGCTAGGAAAGAGTTAGAAGCTACTCCCTCCGTTCCAAAATAGATGACTCAACTTTGTACTTACTTTAATACAAAGATAGTACAAAGTTGGGTCATCTATTTTGGAACTGAGGGAGTAAAATGTAATTGCAACATGTCAGTGTGCGGGTAGATTACCTTCCCTCCAGTTCTCCAGGCTGTCGTCGGTGACTGTGGGTATGACCTGGTCGCTGGAGGTGAGCAGATCCGCATTGGGGTAGCGGGCGAGATATGGCAACGGGTTCTTGAGCCACACCATGTCCGTGTCGCACATGAGCAGTTCGTACCCGAAGGGCAGGAGCTCATTGATGAGCAGCACCTTCTCCCTGCCCATCTTGTGGAAGGTGGGGGACCCCCAGCCAACGTCCTCCGTGACCATCCTGCTGCCCATGTCGAAGACGGGCACGCCCGTGAGGTAGAGTTGCCGGAGTAACTTGGTGTCCATGGCGCCGACAAGGAGATTGTCTACCCCGAGGCCTGTGAGGTGGCGCACCCAGGTGAGGATAAAGTCCATGAAGGCGTAGTTGCCAAAGGTGACGACGATGACCCCATCGCGGGCGCGGGCGCGCACCATGTCGCGGGTGAGGCGGAACGCGCGCGGCGAAGGCATCCGCGACCCCCGAGCCGGGGATTTCCAGATAGGGCGGTTGTACATGGTCTCCGGCTGGGCGGGGGTGGAGAGAGCAGAGAGGTTGGTGGTGGTGGCGGTGACGACCGGGAAGGGGAGCGCGGGGGCGGTGATAGAGGAGAAAGAAAGGAGGAAGAAAACAGCGGAGACGGCGAATCCGCCGACGATGGCGCCGAAGATCCCGATGAAGGCCGGCTTGGTAGATTCGGCAGGGCAACACGGCGCCATTTCGCCGCCAGGGAGAGGAGGGCGGGGGATCGGTGTCGCCGGAGCAGAGGGGGTCAACTGGCGGTGGGGACGGGTGCTCCAGTCATATCTATCGCGTGGGGCAGCCGCGGAGGGGAGAAAATGCGCTTTCCTGGCACTTTGCTCCTGTACCACACCTTTTTTTTCATTGGAGTAAATAGTACATCTTTAATTGATAGTTGGACAAAATACCGAAAGTGTTAATGTGATCTCGAGCACAGGTACGCCCGGTATCTATGCCCTTGCTTCCCTCGAGATGTCCACCGCTGCTAGTATAGGCCCAGGTATAAGTTGCGTATTTGTTTTTTTATTCTGACCGGTGGCCCACATCTGACCCGCAGCAGACGTTACCCTGTCAGTCACGCACACACCGGCTCGGATGGAAGTAGACGATACAGTTCGTCTCACCATAGATTGTGGACTAACGCCGTCACCCAGCAAATTTATGGCATCTAGCGTCTAGCCGTTGGAGCTACCAATCCTCCCTACAGTACACGAACTCGTCTTGCACTCTGCTTAGACCAGCGGGCCTCGGCCTTCTAAAACCACCGCACGCTCACTACATCAACATCTCCAGCATCGATCCCCTGCAAAATTTGGCTCCTAAGTACTCCGGTGTTCATTCACGAACTGCATCAAGATTACAGACGCTTACGTCGTCAGGCACAGAAGAAAGACTAGATGATGAACTCCTCGCCACCTCAGATGGCTTCCCTTGATTCACGGACGCCTCAGAAGCTTCACCGTCCTGGACATGGTAATCATCTCAAACTGAAGAAGATCACAGTAAGGTAAAACAGAGCCACACACAGATTGAATCCAAAGTACTTTCACTGAAAGGACACCTCCCCTAGAGCATTATTCAGTTCGCGTGACTGCCGATCCAGCGCTGGAGAGGACAGATGGAGCCATAGCGTCTCCTTGTAAACAGCTGCACAAGAACCTCGCTTCAGCTACGCGAACCATGGTACAACCTTCACAGTCCTCCCACTCATGGAGTTCAAAATTTGAATGCATGGCTAGGGCCGTCTCCACATATACAAAAGGATGGATACAACCGTATAAATGCAGCCCTCTTGATTGACTGTTGTATTAATTTTTTTGGCTCATTCATCTAGCAAAAGTAAGCAGGACTGAATTATTATGTTGTCTTTAAGTACCAGATCAGGCAACACAGGTAAGTGTTTCTCTATACAACGACTCAAACGCCTGAGATCAGAAGTACCCCTAAAACACCGTCAGTACAGGCTCATGATGAAATGACTTAATTGAACTAAGTTTTTTCCCTCATACTTTACACACCAACCAACTAATTAAAATACTAGTACAACACAACTGAAAATTGTTGAAACATAGAGCGTTGGAATTATCTTAAACAGTTTCACTGACTACTTTGTCTGCTCATGCTTTATTGAGTCTAATAAGTTCCGCTGCTTTGTGGCAGTTGTTGCGACGGTGACCTTCAACTCCACAATTCTTGCAGCGTGCTGGTCTCCGAACTTGCTTTGGGACATCTCGGCGATCTGCGCAGGTTGCCTGCTTATGCCCCTGACACTGACAAATGGTGCTGAATCTTGTCCTTATGCTCAAACCCTCGTACAACGCCTTCTCTCTGCTTGTAGGTCTTCCCATCTCCTTCCTCTTTGCTGGAGGCAATAATCCCACTAGGCTATTCCCTGACTCATTAGCTGAACTGTCATCATTGTTAGCTGTGGCACCATGCACTTTGTCTCCTGCAACAACCATAGCACATTCTGGTTGAATCTGGTTGTCAACACAGAACCAGGGCGTACAAATGATTTTCAGCACAGTTTTTCACAAATCATGCATACATAAACCCAATAAAACTACAGTGCTACTTTTACTACTGTGGCATCAACACTCTCATTAATTTCCTAATTTTTCTTGGTGCGGCCTTGTGTGCTTTTATCATACATGAATAATCCCTCCTGACTAACAATTTAGCATGGCTGAAGTACCACCCAGGCACAAGCAACATACAGAAAATCAATTGTTTTTTCAAATCCCCATAAGCGTACTACCAGCTACATTTTCTCCTCTAAACACATATCACCAACTATGTCAAATCATTCTTCCAAACTACTCCCTCCGTCTCAAAATAAGTCTCACCTTTGAACAATTTTCTCCAGCCCTGATATCCTATCAGCACATGGGGCTCTGCCTAGCTCAGCTGCCCCAACCCGGACCCTGCATTTGCGAGACAATATGTCAAACTAATCAGTCCCTTATTACATCTTAATAATTCGCATACACCACGCTATACATATTGAGCAGACTTATGTATCTTTAGCCAAGGCCAAGCTTGGACATACAGTTTTATTGATCTGACAACAGTTTGATTAGCAGAATGTCTCCTAGTCACGTTACATATAAATTTTCAGAGACTTCATAACAAGAACAGACGTAGTGCAAGTCAGTCAATGCAGACAGAAAGCTAGTTTCCATCACTAATTTTCATACCTTTGCGTCCACCCAGGTGTTTTTTGGTCAACCTGCTCGATGGAGTGCTCTGAAGCTTGAGGTTGTCTGCACTGCCTGCCCTTGGAACAGCGCCCTCAGTGCAAATCTGGTCGTTGGCGCTTGATTCCGTGCTGGTCGGCAACTCCACCACCGGCCGCGTCGTCACAGACTCACAGGGTAATGAAGAGGCTCCATGTTCATCTTGTTCTCGTTGACCTCTTCTAGTAGAGTCCTGCTGCCTACAAAAGATAGGAACCAGACCAATCAGATCTCTGTCAATGACCAAAATAAAATCGGTGGCGAATGAGCAGCACTAACAAGCAGATCCGTACCTATTTACGGGCTGCATCAAGAACTCCATGCCTACCCTAGCACGCAGTCGCCTAGTCGCTGCAGATTTTTC